GAAGCAAGCTTCAGTGCTTGGGAGGAGACCAAGCACAGCAAAGCCAGCGCTGGTTTCTCCTGGTTCCCTGCTCACCAACTTGCAAAGAAGACGAAGGTAGGGCTTAAAGGCGGAGAACAAGCACGAAGAGGAGAGCTTTATCAATCCACCTTGTCACAAACATAACGACTGCTTTATAGACAAGTTATGGCTACCCTGCAATGAGGTCATTAATCTAATGAAAACGTATCAAGAAAAATGCATTGAGACTGACAACGCTGTACCTCCATCATTAATCCTGACCATATAACACTGCTGTGGGCAGAAGAGCTGTTAAGAGGAAGACACTTAAAATCACTCCACAGATGGAAGTCATCACGTCACTGTAAAAATGGTTTATTAGCAACACACTTGAAAGCATGATCTGAAACTTAACAAGTTCTTTAGTGCATATTTGGGGCTTTGTTGTTGGGCTGCCCTGACACATAGAGCCCTGCAAGAACCGGCTCACAAGCGGGTGGGTTTCAGCTCTGAGCGACTTGGTGAGGGCATTGCCAACACATGTCTGCAAACATGCAAAGATCCAGTTAGCAATGAGCACTGACAATGGTTTCGCTGATGACACTGCTCACGCTGAACCCATTCAGCAGCATGCACTGCAGCAAGAGGCTGAGCACGCAGGCAGGATGAAGTGATTCATTGGGGCTCGGTGCTAGCGGCTTTGCTGAAAACTGGAATAGAAAGAATGTTCAAAGCAAATGTTTTTAAGCAGAAACGTATGCAGTTAGCATTCTGTGCAGAGATAAGCACTTCCATTCTGTGCATATATAAGTGTTTCTAGTCTATGCGTTATAAACGTTGACTAGTAACGCAAATCAAGTGTTTTTGAAGAGGGCAGATTTAGAGTAGACATTAGGAAGAAATCCTTTATTATGAGGGTGCTGAGGCGCTGCCACAGGGTGCCCAGAGAAGCTGTGGCTGCCCCATCCCTGGCAGTGCTCAAGGGCAGGTTGGACACAGGGGCTTGGAGCAAGCTGCTCCAGTGGAAGGGGTCCCTGCCCGTGGCAGGGGCTGGAGCTGGATGGGCTTTAAGGTCCCTTCCAACCTCAGATTTGTTAGCTACAACCATCAGGACATGTAAGCAGGCTTCCTCCATTAATGTAAGTTGCTGCAGATCAACGAGTGCGATCCAAAAGCATTTCTATTTCAGCCAGAGCGAGGGCTGCATCCCAGGAACGCACTTGTGAGGCTTGATGTTGTTAGATGGCTGCAAAGACAAAGCATTTGCTTGTGAGCAAGAAGGACAAAATGCCATTAGCAAAGCTGCCAGAGGGAATACTAATGCCATATTCATCTCTGAGAACTCCTGGTGGCAGGATCTGCCTACTCGAGTGGTTTCTAGTTCTCAAGAGTCACTTGCAGAAGACAAGGGAAACCCAATTAAGGGAAACAGCAGTATCTTTGTCAAAAACCAGCAAGCAATTAAATCTCCCCTACACATGGAAACTTGTATTAAAGCTAATTATTGTACAGCGGTCAATGTAATTGCAACTCAAATGCAATATGGCCCATGTAATTAGTTGGCACTAATGGAAGCCTCCTAATACAACAAATGCACTAAAGGTCCACCTCAAGAACGTTTCCTCACAGTACCAGGAAGTCGTGCTACTTCTCTTGCTGAATTTAAAGAGCACTTTGCAGAAGAGAAGATGGATGGGCATCCCCCCTTTCCCTGATATCAGAGCCCTGGAATGGTTTGAGTTGAAAGGGACCTTAAAGCTCATCTAGTTCCAACCCCCAGTTATTGAAATATATGATAGATCAAGCAACCTACATAGACTTCATCCTAATTGCTGCAGCTGAACAGTTACCACTGAAGCACAAGTAGAGTTAAGAAAGCATCACAGAATTATTAAGGAAAAAGCTAATTTAACAGCCAGCTCTGGAAACATTAACTGAGGCCATTGACAAGGATGAGAAAACTTCACAGAAGGGCATCAGCCTCCAAGAATAATGTAGAACACCCTCGCTGCTTTGGAAAGGCAATATTGACCTGGAGGTGTGGCATGGAAGACAGACCGATGCAGAAGTTGAAGACACGGGTGTATTGACCGTGTGGGTGCAACCAGCGAGTTGCTCCTGCCTGTAGTGCCCGGGCACCTCTAGTAGTGAGTGAGAGGAGTGAACAGGCCAGCAAAACATCCTGTTTTCATCAATATTGTAAAGATTTCTTGAAGTTGTGCCCACACATCCCCATTGCCAGGAACAGAGGCTCCTCCTAACGCTTCTAGAAAGCAACTGTTCAATATTGAAGCAGAAAAATAAAGTTAATCCTAGCTTCTTCAGGATGCTACAGGCTCCCTTCCTCATCTACAGAGTCAATGCATTCACTCTTTATTCTCTTTCAACCCCATTGATAGCCTATAAATTATTACTTGATATTGCAGGGCACCCAGAAGCTCCAGCCAGGGTCAAGGCGATGCACTACAAGAGAGACACTGGCTCCAGAAAGCTTCAGTCCTGGGCCAGCAAAATACCAGATGCTAAAATGCTCCCTGTTTGTGCAAAATAAACTGCTCAGTCTATGTCAAATGCTCCTCTGCTGCTGTTTCCCTTGGCAGATTCATTATCAGTCCACCCCGATCTTCTTCATCCTATTAACTGATGCACTGTCATTTAAAAGGTATTAAATACAGCACGCTACCACACTTGAAAAATTGAATTAATTCCTGAAGGCAGGAAAAAAAGGGCTTCAGAAAGCAAGGAAATGTCACAGACTATGTTCTTTACCACCCTCCCCTCTATGTTTTACGCCAATACTGAACTTGGGGGCAATTAATATCCGATACAGCTCTAGCAGCAGCAAAATAAATATCAGCATCTCCTTCAAACCACTGTTTCGTACCATCCATCACTTCCAGAAGCACACGATCAAGGCAGGAGTCAATGAAGAACTCTGCTTTTTCTCCAGGATTCAATCTAGACTGCTTCTAAATATGGATAATGCCCAGACTACATTCACACATTAAAGCTTTGTAGATTGCCATCAGTGCTTCTGCGGCTTAATTTCATCTGTCCCTCGCAATTCAGACCTTCACTACTTCCACCCTAAAGGAAAGAAATCGCAAAACCCCACTCCACTTTAAACAGAAAAACTCCTGATGCTCACATAAGCAGATTGCTAAGCGTCTTTGAGAGGATATATATTTAAAACCTGGCAGCAAAACTTGATTCCCCCACTAAGCAGGAGCATTGTCTCAGCTTCTATTGCCTCGGTGTTCATAAAAACCATGTTCTGCCATCAGTTAAGCTTGGAAAAGCCAGCGAAGAATGATGAGCTTGACAAGGCAAACAGCTCACGAGTAGATGGGGGGAATACAGCGAGTGAGAGAAGAGTGAACATTTTAAGCAATGATAAAACCCAAAGCACCACAAGGGATTCATTCAGAGTGTTTGGTTTTCATTCCAGCTGCACAGAGGATAGAAAGCCCGGTGCAGGAACACAAAATGGATGCTTTTTCCCCCCTCATTTCCAAAACAAGTTGGTCTGTCCGCTTAAAAACTCATCTCCTCCTCCTGAGTGAGGATGTTAACTGCTCACACAGATGCTGCCTGCTGCTCATTCAAAAGTAAGGAGAGAACCTCAGACATTCTGCGCCCTAAACAGCCCTGCTGCCCCAAGTAACGGGCGATGACAGATCCCATCCACCAGCACAGCCACGTTTGCACAGCCAGCTCCAAACCCACCCCAGCAGATCCACAGGAGCACTCACCCAGCCTGGATGGATTCAGCAGCCAGAGCCTGAACAATGGAGCTCCCCCATTCCAGATTAAGCACAGCACAGCAGACTGTATTAATTACCAGGCAGAAGTTTAAAGTTGCCTTTCATCATTTAGAAATGCTTTGAAATCACTTGTCTGGTGTAGCAGCTCCGAAAGAGCTTTTATCTTCCAGCTGTAACATAGGAGGCACCGGAAAAACCCAGACAACATTCCCTGCCTTCCAGTTCTGGCATCTCTGCCTTTGAATCTCCTGAAGCACAGCAAGAGAGAGAATCCCAGACTGGGTTGGAAGGGATCTTAAAGCTCGCCCAGTTCCAGCTGCCTGCCATGGGCATAGACTCCCTGATATATGACAGGGTGAGATAGACAACAACTAATAAAAGAGCTGGTTAAGTAGAACCTCACTTGAAAATTCAGACTCATAGAAAGCCAAGCTTCAGTTTAATGCCTGTATTTTATACAGCATCCAAAGGCTCCATGCTAGTCCAACAGGTTAAAAAAAGCCTACCACTTCTGCACTACCAGCTCCTGCTTAAAGCATGGATAATTATATACAGCATACAAAGGAAGGTAATTAACACACTTCTCACCTAAAAACAAACAGCTGAGCTAATGGCATGCCTGTTCTCACACACCACCTTCCCCAGGATCCAGAATAATTCACCATTGATACTTCCCAGGCACTCACACTGGAGTAATTTAGGGATGCCATGGTAACATAACTACAGCTCACCACGTCTCACCTTTCATGAAATCCATGCAACTATTACCTCTCCAAAGTGGGATTTTCACCACCTCCAGCCCATAAGTCTATGATACGATTTGATGATGAGCCTATGGTGATTTAAGCCCCCCCCCCCCCCCCAGCATCCTTCGGAAGTTGCCAAGCTCACTTACCATCAAACAGGGGAAAAAAGCCTCCAAAAACCAGCTTTTAGGCATGAAACCCCTTCAGCTGCACCACGAGCACCACTTCATCCCCTCCGAGCACCACACACACACACCCCTGGAGTCCCAGCACCGAGCAGCCCAGACCTGGGTCTCACACACACCTCCCACAAGCACACAGCCATATGCCTCCTGCAGCTGCGAGTTATTAAATGGGATGAACATTAACCATTTAGGCATCGGTGGCAGGCTGAACATGCAAAAAGGCATTCAAGAAACTCCAGCCCTGGAGTTAACTGAAAATAGGCATTTATTAAGGAGGAAACAAGGGGAATCTGCTCCTTTCTTACCTTAAGCAAAGGGAGGTCTCTGAATCCTAATGCATCTCCGAATTTTCAACTTCAAAACCGCATCTGTTGGCGAGTTAAAGTGATTTCCCTCTCCGATCTCCTACAGGGAAGATGTGGAGAAAAGAAGGGAGAACTGAAGTACTCAAGGGTCTGCAACGGCCATCGGAGTTGGATGTTTCCCCCTCTCCCTGTACGAATCCTCTCCTTCAGCCCTGCTGGCTCTGAAGACAGCACTGCAGCCGGATTTCAAGGCTCAGCTCTTGACATGCAGAAGCACTGAAGGATCAAGAACATAAATGTCACTTCCTCCAGGCATCACATCAGCTGCAAAGGAGCCTCATCTGCTCTCGCCAGCACAATCCTGCCCGGCTGAAGAGCAAATCCTGACATCTGCCTTGGGGGGGGCTTTCATCACACCCTGCCGAAGGATCCCAAGTGTAAAGCCCCGATCTAAAGGATCCCTGTTTCAGCTACACCATGGTGTAGCCCGACTCGAGACACTGCACAAGTGGAGGGGCACGAACTGAAAAGCTAATAAAACAGAAGTCAAAGCCTAACCTTGAAACAAATCACAGCTGCCTCCATCTGAGCGGTAGCAGAGGCTCTGCTATTATTAAATGAGCTTCAGGAGAGATTTAACTAACTGGATTCCACTGCAATGCTTTACTTATGGCATGTGTGCCTGTCCCAGAATACTTCCTGAAGGTTTTTCCCATCTCTTTTATTGCTTTTGCGTATTTCCTGAACAAATCCAACAGGCACAAGCCCTGTGGAGGCTGGAATCCGTGTATTAACGGGGTTGGGACACTATTGCATAACAGTGGCCTAAAGTTGCTTAAAATAGAAATTAGATGTCACGACCACAACATCCTAAATACACGCCACACGTCGATTAAGCAGAAACCAGGACACCAGCATCGACTGGAAACACCATATAATTAACTCCTAAAATGGCATTTTAATGGTCTCTGCCCTTGCTCCAGCCAGCAATAGCATGTATAATTACTCTCTTATTAGCTCTCTGCATCCTTCCCTGGCATTCCCGACTGAAAACGAAACAAACCCTCTTCTGTTGGAGTTTGCCTGGAAGAAGCCTTGTTTTAAACGGATTACGCGCTGCTAAAAGCAAACCGGACCCGTCACAGGAGGCTTAGTCATGCACTTGGAGGCTGCTTCTTTAGGTATCTACCACACACCTGGATCTTTTACAGATCTATCGGAGTTCGCTCCATAAAGTAAATGTTATCCCCCGTTCAGCTGCGTGCCAACGCAACGCTGAGCCTGCAGCAATTCCTTCCTCTAATCCTCTTGCTGGAGGCTCCATTTAATAAACAAAGGCAGCTCCAATAATTCAACCCGTACTTTCAGAGATGCGATGTGCCTGTCAGAAGCTCTCTGCAAGAGACTCAGGGCATTTCTTCAGCCCCTTCCCAAGGCTTTGCATACGTTTAAGCCTGCGTCTTGCCGTTTGAATGCTGATAACCACCGCGCTCCTTCGCTCCCCTTTGGAGGCTTAAACACAAGCACAGACGTTTTTATTAGCGCATCACGCACCATTAAACTGCCAGCTTGGCTTCCAGCATCCTCTTTAGGAAATAAATAAACGCAGGGCCTCGAACACATCTTCACAACAAAAATACTCATTTCCTTGGCACTGGTTTTTCTGCTCAACCGAAGCGAACAAAGCCCAAACCCAACAAAGCACCGCGTGGTTCCCTTCCAGCCAGGCTGCAGATGATGGGAACCACTCGACACACCACATGTACTGTTAAAGGCTGCTCGGTATGTTCACAGAACACCCAGCCAAGAGCTCTTCCTTCACTTGCCTCCTCCAAGAGACTGATTTTCGTTACTGAAGAGTTCACAAAGCAGGAACTGCCCCACTCTGCACCACGCTCGCACAGGAGCAGCTCCCCGAGAAAACACCCCATACACAGCACCACGGCAGTGCTGTTGACTGCTGATGTGGAGATTGGGGTTGGGCAAAGGTCCCCATGGTCCCTGCTGTCCCCACACAGGGAGGCCAGGGCTGCTGTGTTACAGGTGAAAAGAGAATCACAGAATCCCAGCCTGGGTTGGGTTGGAAGGGACCTCAAAGCTCCTCCAGCTCCAACCCCTGCCACGGGCAGGGACCCCTTCCACTGGAGCAGCTTGCTCCAAGCCCCTGTGTCCAACCTGGCCTTGAGCACTGCCAGGGATGGGGCAGCCACAGCTTCTCTGGGCACCCTGTGCCAGCGCCTCAGCACCCTCAAAGGGAAGAGCTTCTGCTTAAGAGCTCAGCTCAGTCTCCCCTCGGGCAGGTTAAAGCCATTCCCCTTGGCCTGTCCCTACAGGCCCTTGCCCAAAGCCCCTCTCCAGGTTTCTTCTCAGCCCTTTTAGGTACTGTAAGACTGCTACGAGCTCTCCCCCGAGCCCTCTCTGCGAATAAGCATCCCTGCAACAGCTTGGACACAGCCAGGAGAGCCAATCTGGCCACGTTATGGATCTGTCTGCTGCTGGCTTGCGGGAAGAGCAGCTGCAGAGCCTGGAAATAAACCCAGGAGATTGCCTGGGGCTGAGCACGGAGCAGCCAAGCAGGTGCCTTCCCCCTCAGCTTCCCTCTCACAAGGCGAGAGGCAGCTCCTGCAAACAGCTTGCACCGGGGGCTAGACCAGGGCATCGCTCCAGCAGTGAAGAAACCCCTTGGGATACCTCCAGAAGAGGGATTCGGATCTTGGTGCAGTCAGACTGCCAGCCAGCACCACCAGGACTGCAGTAAGCAGAGGGTGAGAGGGCAGAAACAGAGCAGGAGAAGGCAATGCTTAATGCAGCCCCGAGGGAAGGAGAGCACCTCTTCTGCGTTCAGAGGAGCCCAAAGCCACGCTGGAATCAGCAGCCCAATGCCCAGCAGGAAAGCAGATGAGGGTAAACCTCACGTACACAGAGCTGCACATTTACCAACAGCTTTTATGAATATATGCATGAAATGAGAGATTCCAAGCCATCAGCAGAGACCGGTTTTTGCTCGCTGGTCCAAGCCATCTGCTGCGCTTTAAGATGCGCTCCACTCAGCGCTTCGCTTCTCCAAACTCCGCTTCAGCACTGAAACGAAGCTTTGGATCCCTTTTGGTATCCTCCCGGAATTACAGTGATTCCAGCAGTTTGGTGACTCATGGGTACATGGAACCCGGTGATTAAAACCCCTTTGCCTGCAACCTGCAAGCAAACAGATAACGTGTCCATAGCCCGCTGTGCCTGAACGCGGTGTGACGGGGGCACGTGCTGCCTTCAAAGTGGCAAAACAGCCAAGAACATGGATTTTGGCACAGGGTGCCCAGAGAAGCTGTGGCTGCCCCATCCCTGGCAGTGCTCAAGGCCAGGTTGGACACAGGGGCTTGGAGCAAGCTGCTCCAGTGGAAGGTGTCCCTGCCCGTGGCAGGGGTTGGAACTGGATGGCTTTAAGGTCCATTCAACTCAAACCATTCCATGAGATCTATGATCTTTCAGGACACAGCCTAAAGAGATGCTCCAAAACCAGCTGAACTAATTTTGTTCCCATTTCTCTCACGAATCCACCAAAGTAACATTTTCTCTTCATGCCCCGGCAGGAGGATTTTACCCTGTTTCTATTAAACAGCAAGACCTCCTATTTCACTTGGGGGATCCATAAACCAGAAGCTGTTGTTTCTAAAGCTCCAAGATTATTAAGAGAAAAGAAACCTCTGCTCCCAGCTGCTGCACACTTGACACTGAGCCACAGGCACGATTCCTCCTCCGAGCTGCTTTAGCATTTTCCCATCCAAGTCAGGAATGTGCCAGGTTCAAGTTACACACTTCACATAGAGCATCTGACACGGCCAGAAACCCCCGAGCTCTGGGTTTCTGCTCTCATACAGTGCCTGTTACCCATGCAGCTCCTCTGACCCGTGCCCATCCATCGGGATACAGATGGGTGTCTTCTCCCTAACCCTGCTTTTCTCACTTCCCAGCTGTGCAGGATGGTGGTACGGACACTCAGAAGAGCAACAGGGAAGCGGGGACCTGATGTCTCAGCTGAGATGCCAAAGGCCAGCAAAGGGTTTATATCATCATGCTGCTCGGCTGGAGGGCACAGAGGGAGACGCAGGCACCCCAACACCATGCACCCAACACACAGAGCTTCCTGATGACATTTGTCACTTACTAAGAGTGCTTTTCAATTTCAATAAGGTGCTTAAAGTGACAGCACCCAATTAACTGCTCAGTGGGAAGACAGCATCAATATTCATGAAGCAGTCATGGAGCAGACGTGGGATTCATAATTGCCTGAACCCACCCGCAACAGAGCCGCACTAATACTGTACCATAACCCCCCGACAATGTGCTTTCCTTTAAATCAATATTCATTCCAGTGGCAGCACCACCTCCTCCCCAAAATATAGATATAAAACCCATCAATAGTCAAATCAGGAGCTGGTTTGGGTTCCAGCCTCATTTTTGCCCATTTAAACAGTGCTCACCTTTACCCAGCAATGTTTCCAGTGAGAGGAGGAATTCCAGGGCCACAGAAAGAGGAACCACAGCCTGACTCAAGCTCACGGGCTTAAACCTGACTAACGAGTCCCTCAATTTGAGCCACAGAGGCACTAAAACCATTCCAAGTGCTGCCATTCCAGTGCTCAGTCCCAGCACAGCTGGGTTTTCTGGCTGCTGTGTAGTGCAAAGTGGTTATTTCGATTAAAACCAGGGCTCAGTTTAATAGTGATCCCTTTGTTCTACAGGGTGGGGGGAAAAAAGTAACATTATAATGCTGAACCTGAATTATTTCAGCCCAGAACTGTCTCGAACACAAAGGACCTGCCTGCCTCTGGCCACCAAAGCGGAGCAGGAGCTGCTGCAGGTCCCAGAGCAGGGCAAATCTCTGTTCAAGAGCACCAGCATGGCAAGCTCTGCTCTTGTAGCCACAATGGTTTCATTGGCATCTTGTTTTCCACCCTCTCTAGGCTTGTGAGCCTCATCCACGCAGCCCCAACATGCAAGATCAGGAAGCCAGGGGCTCCCCATCCAGACTAACTTTAAGTTTGCAATGCAGAACAGTGGAATAAGAACGTTTTGAAGCACATCCCAAGAGAAACGATGATAAACAGCAGGAGGCCGAACTGCACTTGGATACCAAGGGGACCAAACTGCACTTGGATACCAAGGGGACCAAACTGCACTTGGATACCAAGGGGACCAAACTGCACTTGGATACCAAGGGAAAGGGGTTTGCAGGACACAGAAGTGACAGCAAACACGACGCAGGACCTGCTGCAGTCAGAGCAAACCTGCTCCCTGGAAGCAGAGGAGCCAATGCCAGCAGAGGGCACTCGGAAGCCAAGAGAGAACAAACCCACCGTGCGTGTGCAGGACGTGGGGATGGCTCTGCCAATGCCTCCGTGGAGCGGGAATTGTGCCTTTTAGTCCTCAAGCAGCCACCAAGGCAACACGTTTGATCCGTGGTACGTTCTACACTGCAACCTTCTGCAAGGGAAACTTAAATCCTCCTGGAAAAGTGGACAACTTCACAGCAGCCAAATCTGAAATTCCCTTTAGGCACTGGGAGCTGCTCTAAGGTCTCCCTGGAGCCTTCTCTTCTCCAGGCTGAGCCAGCCCCAATTACATAGGTTTAGAAGCTAATACTCGAGTTTTCAGGCTCACACAGGTGGGTTTTAAGGCAAAACCAGAACGTGCCATTGCTAAGTCTGCAGACCCAAGTCCTGTGTGCTGCTGCACCACCACCAGAAGATGCATCCTGCAGCCACTACACCCTTAGCAAGGTTCTCCAGGCAGCTCCAGCTCCTGACCTCCTGAGGCTGTGCCCTTCTGATAAAGACACAAGGCAAGCAATCGAGTGTCGGAGAAACCCAGCAGCACCTTAAGCCTTCCAAACCCCAAACCAGCCATCAAAACGTGGCGGTTCTGCAAAGGATCTGAGAGCTTTTGTTTTCCCAAGCCACCCATACTATAAAATTGTGCAAAAAAAAAGGCATTTAGAGACTTGAGAATGACACCCTTAAAAAGGTGAGAACCTGATAAATCTCACACCTCACTCCTGCACCAAAGCCAAGTTTTGTATATAGCTAAGGAGCACCTCGCAATGATGCATTGCTATGGAGCCTGCAGTGTTGTGCAGCCCATTTGCATCTCTATTACTCTGTCAATTTTACAGTGCACAAATACCAGGAATGCTTCACTGTTACTGAACCCCGATGCCAGGGTTTGCCTTCCCAAGGAAACGTGGAACCGTGCAAAATCCTTTCTCTAATGCAAAACATCCTCTGCTGGTGCTTACTGCGATCCTCAGCTCTGCGACCCAAATTCACCTTCTCTATGTGTAACTCTTTGGTAAATACAAGGCACCAGATATTTGCTTGTAAATGTAGCCTGAAGATCCCAGACTGGTTTGAGTTGGAAGGGACCTTAAAGCTCATGAAGTTCCAACCCCCTGCCACGGGCATGGACGCCTTCTACTAGAGCAGGGTGCTCCAAGCCCCATCCAACCTGGCCTTCAAAGATCAAATATAAGCACTAAATGTGCATTGAGTGACTTTGTCCATGTTATACCAATAGGGATACATAAGCTCCTGTCCAGAGCAGTAATAAACTACTCATAGAGTGATAAAAAAAGCCCTTTATGAAACATTCAGTGGAAATAAGAGCAGTCCCTATTGAGGAAGGCATCTGGCAGACATGAAACCCAAAAGCACACCTTTTTTCTCTCCCCTCTATCTGTCCATTCTCACCTCTCAGCAAGGTGCT